TTATTTGACTTATATTGCTGAGGTACCCCCGAAGCATGTGTTGTCGCCCCGATGAAATATTCTTAGACTAGGTCCTTTATGTTAGTTGTCGTAGGGACATAAAGTGAGAATAAAGGGAATGGGTAATTGGGTTATTGTTGGTTGGTGAAAATTAAATATGATTAATTATTGTGGGTTGAAAACCCTATATGCTCACCAGGCTCCCAAGCCTGACCCACTCGGTTTTATTTGTATTACAGGAAGTGGCGCGAGGGCATAAGATGGATGAACCATCAAGTTGTTTTGTTTACAAGTCTGTATATGTATATATTTGTTGAACGACTTGTAATGTTATCATTTATGCTTATTGGTCTGTATCGGAACATGACACCCCTAGTTTTGATTATATAATGAAAATACATTTCTTTTATGAAATGCTTTGGTAAACATTGTTTTATCATGTCTTGTTTTTGGGAACAAATTCCGCAACTCTTTCAAATCAAAAAGATTTACTCTGAAATTATTTTAAAAGCATAAAATAAAAATCGGTCTTTTCTGGCCGAGATTTTGGGGATGTCACAGTAAAGTAGTCTTTTACCCCAAGCGTGAACTTATGGATATGTGTTGGAACCCAATTATTAATTGGGTTTTATTTTGATGTTGACAGATTCGGGAATCTGTCAGCTAGCAGCCACAACTTTATCCGCGGGACTTCAGCAGTGTGAGGTGAGTCTCCTCACTGTTTGTATGGGTCTAAGGCATCAATGTCGGCCCATTTAGTTTATGTATGATAGGAAGACCTGGGGGTTAGCCCTAGGCATTATGCATGAAAGACCAGGAGGCAGCTCCTATCACACAATATGTTATTATATATGGTAGGAAGACCCGGGGGGTTAGCCCTAGGTAATATGTATGAAAGACTAGGAGGTGGCTCCTAGCACACTGTATGCTATTATGTATGAAAGACCAGGAGGTGGCTCCTAGCACATTATATGCTGATTAGCTAAGTAGATTAGTATGTATGCTAGTTGTCTTTGTAATGCTTACATGGAAGACCAGGAGGTGGCTCTTGGCACTTGTCTGTAAGACCGAGGGGGTGGCCCCCGGCTTGGCAAGAAAGACCATCTGGAAACCCGTGGCATAATGGCAAGACTATGTTTGGCACATAGCACATTTATTTATTATAATATATGTATGGCTCATGGTTATGTATGAAAGTATGTGAGTATGTGTTTATATGAGAGACAGTATTCGGTTGAAAGAGACCGAAGGGGTAGGCCAGCACCCAGATATGCTAGGCAGTATGTGTTATGTATGGTATGTGGTATGATGAAGGAACTCACTAAGCTTCGTGCTTACGGTTTTCAGTTTTGGTTTCAGATGCTTCGGATTCCAAGGAAAGAAGCCGGCTCGATCGCAGCGTATCACACTATGATTTTCCGCACATGAGATCTTTGGGATTACACTCTGATATTATTTTATGATAACATGTTTTTATTACTAACACTTTGGTTTTGATATGTGATGTTATTATGGATGTTTTTATACTTATGGTTTTATAACAACCTGTTTAAAAATGAAATCTTTGGCCTTGAATTTTGGGATGTTGCACCATGGCAACCTAAGGTCATGTCGTAGGGACTGGTCTGGACAGCTTAATCCATTAAGCCATTTTCCTACAACTTCAGGAGCTCCAAATCTCAGATCTAGTCCTTCCTATGGTCTTGATGGATAAAGTTTCCAACTTTATCCATTAATACACCTCAATAAGTCAAGATCCCAAACCCTAGTTCCTTAAAGGTAATTAAATGCATAAAGTCACCTATTAAGCACTCAATGTATGTCCATAATGGTTTCTTACACCTAATAATCCATAAAAATCATAGCTTTATGGACATGCATGTCCCTTCCATTTTAGGTCAAAAACATGGCAATAAGGAACTCAAGCTTGAGCATGGGACCAAAAACTCATTAAATCCTCAGACATGGAACATATGACACTAAAATGACCACATGGATCCATAAAAGTTGCCAACTTTATGAGATCCAACCTTCTAATTCCTCACACCATGTAGATTAAGGGACAAAGGGCTAGATCTAGCGATAAATAACATAAAGATTGGATATTGAGGACTTATAAGAGTCCAGAAAATGTGCATAAGATGGATAAGGATAGTGGCTTGCTGAAACAAAGCCCATGGGTGCCTTTTTCTTCTTCAAAACACCACCAAACACACAAAAACCCAAAGGTTAGTAATAAAGGCTATGGTTTTATCTTGGAGGTTGAGAGAGAGTGATTGACGATGAGGGTGTGCAACCTTAGTCATCACATTTCCTTAAATAAGGGCTTAAACCACAAATTAGGGTTTGGCATTAAATAACGGTCACGTCGTGGCGAATAAATATCACGTCGTTGGACTCCATCACCACGTCATGGCCCACTAGAAATCCAACATCCAAAATATTAAATAACTTACAAGAAACATACTCGATACTTAGCGTTACATTACCTGGGATGTTAGGAAGTTTAGATTGTATGCATTAGAGATGGAATTTGTGCCCAAATGCATATCATGAACAATACACAAAGGGTAATTATCATTATCATACGGTCGTACTTGAAGATGCAACCTCACAGGATTTGTGGTTCTGGCATGCCTATTTCGATAGTCCCAGTTCGATTAATAACGTTAATATTTGTAATAACTCACCAATATTCAACAAGGTGTATGATGGTACTGCCCAATATTTGTCATTTATACTCCGAGGAACTACATACAAATTTGTGTACTATCTTATGGATGGGATCTATTATGTTTTTGTTAAAAGTTTGTCATGTATGGATGACCCTTAATGGTCCATATTTAAGAAAGTCCAAGAAAAAGCGAGAAAATATATCGAATGAGCGTTTGGAGCACTTAAAAAACATTGGCAGATAGTTGCCAAAACATCCACGTTTCGTGATTTTCTACTATGACAGAGATAATGTATATGTGTATCATATTACATAATATGATACTAAAACATGAAGGAAACACGATGTGTGTACGAAGAGAATGAAGTCACCCCCGACACACAACCACTTGAATATGGTGGTCAAGAATGGATACAAAGAATGATGATAGTCAACAATGCAGTAATCCATGCCGATCTTCGTCACCATTTGACCGATCATCTTTAGACAATGGATAATATTGATCTAGATGTCACCAGAAGACGAATTGGAAGGGCAGTTTTCTGAGGAACACCCGTTGCTTTAGTATGTTTTTTTATGAAGTGTATTTTAGTTATGAAGTGTCTTTTTTATGTATTAAGAGGGTGTTTGGATATGGAAAAAAGAGGGTGCTTATTGCTTATTGTTTATTCCCACCATTATAAACTAAGTTTAAGTGTTTGAATAGGAATTATTAAAAATCAGCTTATTATGGTGGGAATAAGCTACTGATTTTAATAAGCATTCCCCCCTTGCTTAAAGTTTATTGCTTATTCACACCACAAACACTTTTACAAAAACTGTTTATTCTCACCGCAATAAAATAATAAGCAATAAGTTAATAAGCTAAAAACTAATTTGTCTGAACACCCTTTAAGTCATGTTTTCAAGTATTAAGTTGTGTTTGTTGGTATTAAGTCATGTTTGTCGTGGTTTGAATTATTTACTCGTGTTTCTAGGTATTTTGAGTTTTAATTTATTGTAACTTTTTTTTAATTTAATTTGAAATGTTTGTGTTTTAAAAAAATATAATTTATTTGATATAATTGTTTGCGGTTTAAAAAAAGGGTTTAGATCATTTTTGATCACTTAACTTTTGGTTTTGTGCTCATTTGCTTACTTAACTCTTTTTAAGCTTTAAAAGGTCATCAAACTTTTGATTTTGTGCTCATTTAGTCACTTAATTTTTGGTTTGGTCACATTTAGTCACTTAACTTTTAGATTTGTGCTCATTTAGTCACCTAACTTTTAAAATTGTGCTCATTTAGTCACTAAACTTTTGAAAAAAATTAAAAGTTTAGTGACTAAATGAGCATAATTTTAAAAGTTAGGTGACTAAATGTGACCAAACCAAAAGTTAAGTGACTAAATGAGCACAAAACCAAAAGTTTGATGACCTTTTAAAACTTAAAAAGAGTTAAGTAACCAAATGAGCATAAAACCAAAAGTTAAGTGACCAAAAATGATCTAAACCCTTAAAAAAATAAAACTTATTTAATATTAATTGTTTGTGTTTAAAAAATATATATAATTTAATTAAATTAAAAAAAAATGAAGTGTAAGAAGTTTTAAAACTCTTTACGAAATGCTAACAATTAAGTGTTAAGAAAAAAAAATAACGTGACACTCAAAAAGATAATGCGACAAGATACGAAAAATGTTACCATGTTCAAAAATAACTAATCTGGATTTACCAGAGTAACCTAAAGTGACAAATGTACTTATATGCCATGCATCTATTTACTTGTCAGAAGGTTTTCTAACTTGTTCTTCTTGGTTCGTGTTCTTACTCTAACAATGGTTCGTGTTCTTACTCTAAATACATGTATTTTTGAATTATCAAATTTTAACTAATCTCAGTTTCAAGTTTCGCATCTCAATTGATGAAGTGCAATTAGAAAACTTCATTTAAATTTTCAAATTTATCATCTCATTCGATCACCAATCTATAATGTCTCTTTGATGAATTGGTATATTTGAATAAACCATCAATACATAATCAACCTCACTCCTCTGTAATATCTTTTGAAAAAATAATCGACTAATCTCATTTCAAATTATATACATTCCAACCTACCAAGGAAATTACTATGATTTTTCATTTTTAAGTTGTCTAAAAATAACGGTTGTTTCTTGTTTATGTTGCAAAAATATTCATATGTTTCTTATGAAATTATTTTTTCGATTTATTTATAATTTTAGCGAGATTATTAAAAAAAACATTCTGTAAATCAAACCGAATGATAATTGATCAATTCCATTCCATTTCCTTGTCATTCCATTCCATCAAACCAAACATACAATTAATTCAATTTTTTTCCCAACTCCATACTTGTTCCTACATTTTTTATGTTATATGATTAGTAGATTTTGATAACTGTTATATCTTCAAGAAACTATCAACTTGTGTATCATGTTAGAGTTTTGCAAGAAGATATGCGAGTTGTTCATCAGACACCTTCACATCAACACATGTACCCAATGACACAGCAAGTCTAGCAGCCAATTGATGTTTGCACTGAGAAAGAAGAAACAATAATCAAAATCAAGGAAACAAAAACGAAAATGGAAATGGAAATGGAAATGGAAGAAAGCCTTACACAAAGCTGCTCTCTTTTGTTGACAATGTCGTAGAAAAACGAATAACAAGCACAATAGTGTTCTGGGAAACAAAGGTATTCTTCCTTTTTTTTAGACTCTCCAGTAATCTGGAAATACCATTTCAAAGTTCAAACCTCAAGCACTGGTTATAATGTTCAACAAATAATCAATGGAATTCAGAAGATCGCAACAGAGAAAACCTGGAATATGGAGCGTCCACTGGGTTCTCCGGATATCTTCTTGACACCTCGTTGATCAACTATCCTGCTTGCCCTTTCCAGATTTTTACCAAATAAAGTATGCAAACTGTGTTTTCATGTTGAAGGATCAGTCAATTTATGTGTAAATTGTGTAATAGAAGAATCAAGGATAGATCAAGTAGATTACTCACATCGAAAGCTGATCATCCGTCACTGTTTTTCAAATGCGATTTCAAAGAACGAAAATCAGAATCATTTTTGGGAAGAAGAAGAAGAAGAATTAGGGATATAAGATCGAAATGAGATAGAATTCATGGTTGTATGCGTACCTGAACGAGTCGATTGGATTTCTGTCCAGATGGTTTCTGCGACTAATAGGCTGCTGGAAGTCATTGTATGTTTGAAGTTTAAACCCTAATTTTGTTTATCTGATGCAGGAGCTTCAGTAGCAATAAAATGATTGAGATATCAGAATTCTTTGAAACACTAATGTTAATTGTTAAAATCAGAAAGTTATAGAAATCGCTAGCTTTAAATTGTGCTAATTTATTGTTCTAATTAAAACCTTAAACTCTTAAAATTGTAGTCATAGTGAAGACATGTCATTGTCAATTTGTCATGTAGACGATTTATGATCATCTTTATCCGATAACAGTTGATCTGGCATCCATATAAATAAAAAATTTAAAAAAAAAAAAAAAATTAAATTAGTTTTTGTTTTTTATTAGAATAAAATGACTTTTTTACGCTAAACCCAAAAATGATAAAACCTAAACAAAATCTGACACTGATTGATAGTAGCCTATTCATCACAATAAGAAATATCACCAAATATATAATACAGTCAATTTCTTATTTATTCATATAAAATACTAAGCAATCTTGAATTCTTATATAAACCAATAAAATAATTTCTGTCCACATTTCTGCCTATAATAAATAATTAATATCGATCCAAATCTATATTGTTAACTAAATTTCCTATTAGAAAAAAATGAAAAGATAAGCACACGTTTATGTGCCTTGTATATTTTTTCTTACTAAAATTGCTTTTTTTGTTTAAAGTAAACCTAATAATATAAACCAAAAACCAATAATAATAATAATAATAATAACCTTAATAAGGTTCAAAAAATAGTAACTATTTATAATTCTTGTGTCATCCATTGAATAATTGTTGACCTTTTGAAATCCACGTAGTTTTTTTTGGAATACATCTCAACTTGAGATGATTCAATTATATTTATAAAAGTGCATTCACAGTTTCACACGAAATAATGTTTAACTGAAAGTGTGTTCGAGAAGTACATTGTTTTATAAATGAGCTAATAAAAAACTGTTTTGAAAACTTATTTAAAATATTAATTCCAAATGAGCATAGACGCATACATAACAAATTACATGGTTTCAAATCCTCTATACAAAATCATTCACTCAATCTACACCAAATAGTTTTTTTTTAAAAGTCAGCTTATAAGCAATTTTACTTTAGTTATGTGCATCAAACACAGTCTAATCTTTCATAATACATTTAAATTTACGGTTATACCCTTTCTACAATTTGGGCAAGCCCCACATAACCTAATCCATGGAATCAAGCAACCGGAATGGAATACATGAAAGCAATGCAATCGTATCACTTCATCACCATTCTCAAAACCTTCTAAACAAATCGTACACTCCCTTGAAGTCTCGTTTCCTTTTCCATCATCACCAAAAACCTCTAATTTTAAACAATTTAAGGCATCTTGATGAAGTCCAGGATGATGATGATGATTTCTTGTTAATGGTTGCCATGATTCAGATGCCATTTCTCCATACAGATTACTGTCATCTTGATGACTGTTTGATGAAGAACTGCTGCTTTGTCTATAATAAGATTATTGTTGATTTTGATTAACATGAGTTTGAATTTTGAAAGATTGATGAAATTTTATAATACCTGTTTTGAGAAACAGAGACGCCTCTCAGTCTTTCAAGAAGTCTTTCTCTTGCAAGTAATACAGATCCAGGAAGCCTGTCATTCCCAGTGGCTCTGTGTCTGTGTATGCTTCTGAAGTCTTCTGAATTTATAATGCTACCGGATGGAGATTGATTATGAACTTGTTCAGGCTGAACTGATTCGTGTTCCTGATTTTTAACAACGAATAACATATCAGTAATTGTATGCTTAAGATCATCTAAGGCACGTAAAGTGATCGACTGTTGATTTTAGGTTTTGATAGATTAATTTAACCGAGAAATTAAAAGTTGTTGATTCATGGTGTGTGATTTTGCAAGGCGGGTGACATCGGAGATAGAGAAATACATAATAGAAGTCAGAAACATCGGGACAATACCGAGTGGTCGAGGCGACGGCGGTGGATCCGCCGGGAAGCAAGGTCACAGCCATCGTCGAGGCGATTTTCACGGCGATTATAGCGACGGTTTGTGGTGCGGTGTTGGAGAGAAGATAAAGAAGAACTGGCGTCCGGTAACGAGGTATCAAATCCTGAAATCTCGACGCCGTTGTAGCGAACACCAAAGCGATACCTCCGGCTATGAAATAGCTCTGAAGCACTTGTCATCCACAACATTCAGAGCAGAAATCCTCTGATAGAAATTAGATTTGCGTCAATTTTCAGTTAAATGTACAAAAACTTACACTGAGGAGGATACATGGAAGGATTCAAACTTGTAGCTTTGAATGATTGTGCGTTGATGTGATGAATTCGAGAGTGTAAAGAACAAAAGCAGTAGGAACCTGGAAAAAGGGTGAGTGAGGGATTCTATGAAATTGGTAAAAGCCGATTTGGGGATATTTCGAAGGAAACACGTAAGAAATGGTAAGGGATCAGATTTAAGTCGGTATAAAGTCAAATTCACTATCCACTGGTACAAGATAGGTCGGTTTCGTTGGGTTTGTCTTAAATGCACACCTAAATAGAATAATTTGGTTTAAAAAAAAATTAAATATTCACTTATAAAGTTTTTTCTACATAAGGGATTAAAATATTATTGATTTTATTAAATTTGATCGATATCACCATTTGATATGGATAGATGGATATTTAATTTCTTTTAAAAAAATTGTTCAAATTTAGTTTAAGTTTGACAAGATATCACAAATGAATAAAAGAAATTAACAAGTTAAAGATAACTATGATTAACGTGACATTGTTAACCATATTGTAACACCTCGATTTTTAAATATTACATTTTTAACCATTGGAGTGAGATTTGTTTGCAAAAGGGTCCCATGTGGGATTAAGAATAAGGGGTGTGCCTGCTTGAGTACAATGGGTGTACTCATATGGTAAGTTTGGTGTACTCCAACCAGGCCAAACCTTAATTATTTAGGGTTTCAGCACTATATATTCATCTTTATGGCTCAAGACCTCTTCCCGGAGCAAGTTGGAAGAAGAAGATCGTCCTTGAAGAATGGGACACTCTAGATCCAGGATACTACCATCTTTTGACACCCTTTGGAGGTATAAAGTTCTGAATTTGATGTTTATATCATTAGATCTTGTTAGCTTTAGATTTGTGGTTATTTTGGTCCATGAGATTGGTATTATGAGTATTTGGTACTCTAATCCTTTTGAGTTGTCTTTTCAGACGTTTGGGGGTGTCTTGAAGCATAAAAATGTGATCTTGAATGTGATATTTAGCCAATGCATGTGTTAAAGGGTCTTATGGGGTTAAGGACATAGGTTTTTGGACATTAAGCATCTTATAACCATACAAAGTCATTAATTTGAAAACTTTATGACTTAGGACATCATTCCGGGCTTAGATCTGAGTTTTGGGAGGAAGGGCTTAATGGGATAAGTTCTTAATGGCATTTTTAGGACTGGCAGCGTACGTTGGGAGTACATGGAGGTATGTTATGCGTACGCGGTTAGCGCCCCGTTTCTTGGTCAAAATCGGAGTACACGGGGCGTACTCCTATGGTATGTTGTAGGGAGCGTATCACAGTGTTCTCGGGTTTCTTCATTTCTCCAAAGTTTTGCCTTATTGTATTGTGGGTCGAAGGCACCAATGTCAGCCCACTAGTTTTGGTTATCTTTCAGTAGAAGGATGTCTTAGGGACTGTGTATAGTCACGTAGGATAGCTTGAGAACTCTTGGTCTAAGTTCTCTTATTTGTTCCTTGTTTGGTTGTGGTTCTAGAGTAGGACCACCTATCTGGGTGGCTATCTCACCTCTTGATATATACGATCATGATGCATTCCTTGGAATGTTTATACTTAGGATGTTGTTATGTTGTAGTAATCTGTTAGATCGGTATCATGGTATATAGGATGTTGCTATGTTGTAATGATTTGTTAGATCGGTATTCTGGTATATAGGATGTTGTTATGTTATGGTGCACTATTGGATTTGTATGTTATATGTGCTTGTTGGTTATCATCTGGTGTAGTGCTCTAGGGATTGTATGTGGTCACGTAGGATAGCCTGAGAACTCTTGGTCTAGGCTTTCTTGCTTGTTCCTTGTTTGGTTGTGGCTCTAGAGCAGGATTATCTATTCAGGTGGCTATCTCACATCTGGTTACTTATGGTTACGCATTCCATGGAGGATAGTGTCACACCCCCGAACCGGAACGACGGAAACATTCGGGGGCGGAGGACATCATGTATAGTATCACAACAATTGTATAATAGGAATCAAAGCAAACACAACCATTACATTGATAAGGTAAAGCTTTTACATCTGTTCGATACATAGTTTGTATGATATCAAAATGTATAATCAAAAGTATAAAAGACGCAACTTGATATGGGCATATTTAGTTATAAACTTCATGCATTATCTTAATACTTTATGTTGATTTTATCTCATTTAATGAAAAAAACGTGCTTAATTAGTTTAGAATTTAATTTTTCAGCAATGATGACATGCTCGGATGGAAAAGGAAGCGGAACTAGCGATTGGACGCTTGGATCTTGGATTTTGAAGAAAGAAGGATGTTGCTGGACAGCTTGACCCCTCGTTAGTGTTTTGGCCATATCTCATGAACCGTAACTACGATTGACGAGATTCAAAATGTTCTGAAAAGTAGACACATTTTCGGACGACTTTCGTGTTTTGAGAAAATGCTGATTCCAAACGTACTCGGCGAGTAGGGTCGATTACTCGCCGAGTTGCTCAGAAGTTTCGCGATTCTGGACGCGCTGACTTGCCGTACACGGGTTTTAAGTGATGGACTCGCCGAGTAGGTCAATGGACTCGCCGAGTAGCCCCTGTTTTGTGAAAATCTATATAAAGGGACTTTCATATCGATACCCTAGGATAGAGATAAACCCTTGGAGGCCAATTGTCGACTAAAGGTGCTGCTAGAGCGTGGGAAGCAAGGGAATCAACCCTACATTCAATTTTAAGGAGAATCAAGTCAAAATCAAGTTTACTCTTACCTAATCTCTTGTTTGAACTATGTTTTTACCAATTGATTTCGTTTTTGTGCTTGTTTCCATTGTAATCATGAGCTAAAAACTCATAACTTCTGTTTAGGTAGATGAATTTGTGAACATGGATTGATTATTTGATTAGGATTAATTTTAATTGGTGATTATGTTTTATTAAGCTTGTTAAAGAACCTTATGTGTTAACAATAACTATTCTTCTGTTAATAAATCAGTAATTAAGTTGTATGAACATCTCTTAGTTGCTAATTTCATATGATTTACGTGACCACATAGTTGTATGTCTAGGAATAACGAATGTGAAACTAGAATTAACTTGAAGATAGGTAAGTTAATGTGTGAGCTTGTGTGATACACCATCAACAAGAGGTTAATTGAATCACCAATTTGATTAGCTAATTACAAGTCTTTCTAAACCCGAATCAACAAACTAGGAAATTCATTAATTTAGACAACTGGTCATTGCTTGAATTAATCTGTTTTCTAAGGATTAGCTACAGCGAATGTGAATCTAATCACTTTAGTCGGTAACCAATGAAGAATTAATCCGATATATTTACCATAAAATCATCCATGGGAACAAATGAGTCGAACCTAAACAGAAGTCCTCTTTATTATTGAATTTAGTTGATTTTTATTTGCTTAGCTCTTAGTTTCTTAGTTTAAGTTTTAGTTAATTGTTTAAATTTCTAGTCTTGCAAAACTAGAGAAAACTCTTTCTATTACTTGTTTTATTTAGATAATATTAGCATCTATTTTAATTGTTTACCGTTCCCTGTGTTCGATACCCTACTTACCTGAACTAAACTGCTAATCGATAGGTACACTGCCTTTCGTGTGTTTGTCTTTGTGTTTAAGTTAATAGGATTAAAACTAGTTGGTTTCACACACATCACAACTCTAAAAGCTCTGTTTTCCCAAAATCTACGGGTGTACCTATCTTATCGGTTCCCTGATAATACAAGTGATTTTGAAAGTGTATCAACATTTAAGTTGGTGGGCTCAGACGTATGGTTGTAATTGAAAATCCATCAATTTGTTCCTTGAAAATGTAAGTATGTTTTCCCAGAAAATCATATATTTTCTGTTGTAATCTATTATACCCAAAACGTGTGACTGTTATCGTACTTTGAAAAAAGGTAGTTTTATATCACATAAAACTATGAATGTATGTTTTCTCTATGTTGGAATAGTAGTTTGTATTCGTACTTATGTTAAAAATCCTCTGGATTCATCAGCGATACTTGTAAAATAATGTTCTATAGCCTTATTATTTAAATAAAATTATGTGAAGCGGCTTACTTATTCATACACTAATCGTGTTATTTGATACCAAATTGTGAGTTCTCATAACCGTGCATAATACGACGGATGGCTTGACTCGACGTTCTTCAGGCGTCAGAAATCGTTCATGACGTTTGTCACTATAGGTCTGCTGATGTATGTGAAATGCACTAGTTTTAATCCTACTAACTTAAACACAAAGACAAACACACGAAAGGCAATGTACCTATTGATTAGCATTTTAGTTCAGGTATGTAGGGTATCGAACACAAGGAATGGTAAACAATTAAAATAAATGCTAATATTATCTAAATAAAAAAGTAATACAAAGGGGATTTTCTCTAGTTTTTCAAGGTTAGAAACTCAGTAATCAAATAACACTCAAACAAAAGATAATTAACAACTAAGGGAACAAAAGACAACTGGATTCAATAAGATAAAGAGACTTTTGTTCAAATTTGATTCACTTAATCCTATGGTTGATTTCGTGGCAAGTGCAATGGATTAATATATCAATGGTTACTGATTTCTAATGTGATTATGTTAATGTTCACTATTACTAATCCTTAGCAAACAAATTAATTCAAACAGTGATCAGTTGATTAACCTAAAATGTTTCCTAGTATTCAGTTCGGATCAAGTAAGACTTGTAATATTAGTAACTAAATCTGTCAATTCAATCAACTCATATGTGGTTGTTCATCACACATGCTCACACATCAACTTACTTGTTTTCTAGTTAACCCTAGTTTCATGTTCACTAATACTAGGCATATAATATCGTTTTCAAAAAAAAAACATATGATACAAGCAATTAAGAAGATGTCCATGCAACTTAATAAACTTGATTATTAACAGAAAATAATTATTGTCAACACATAAGGGTCTTTAACAAGCTTAACAAGACAATTCACCAAATCAAATTAATCCAACCCATAAAATCACACCATATTCATAACATCATCTAGTCTAAACATAAGTATGAAGCTTTTAGCTCATAATTACAGCAAATAGCATCCTAAAATCAAAATATGATGATTCAAACATGGTTCACACAAAAGATTGAGATAAAAGTAATGTTTGTTTGCCTTTGATCTCTTCAAAATTGAATTCTAGGTTGAATTCTCGAAAACCACAACTCTATGAACCCTTCTGACCTCCAAAAATCGTCAAAAGTCTCTAGAATTAGTTAGGGTTTCGAATGAAAGTGTTT